AATTATTTTTTGTACCCCATTCATACCTCCGCTCATGACTGCGCGATTAACTTATTTGGTGTGTCATTAACTAATGGATTAATTTCATTTAAAATGCAATTTGCTATTGAAATGGCATTGTGTCCGGGAGGATTTACAAATTTCCAAAATCTTTCTACTGGCTTACTGGTATCGTAGAATAATGACCAATTGAAATTCGTAAGCAACATCGGTAGTTTCGTCAGCAATTACAGCTACATATTTCGTTTTTTTATGTCTTTAGCCACTTCTTTATGGTAAACGCCAAGCATACAGTTCAATAGTTCATTCTGTATGATCTTAGAGGTCCCTTTAAATACTGTTGCTTTGTTGAAATGTTCCTTTAACCCTTTCAATACGACTTTTGACTATTTGTGTTTTAGGTGTTTTTATGATTAAAACCAGTTACTATAGCAATAAATAGCATGCTCAATCAATTTGAAATTTTTTCTTCAAGCCGTTTTTTAGAAAAAAACTTGGGACGTATATATCCCTGCAGTATAGAAACGTGGGATATATATCGCCGCAGTGTTGACGCGGTAAAATAAAAAATAAACTTATCCAGGAAATATTTATTTCTACAAATTTATTTCATAAATCTATGTATGGTATGGAGTGAAACAATTAACACATAAAGGTACTTGACATTTCTTGCATATTATTTTGGTTCTTTTTTCAATTTTTCTGGACTTACAACGAATACACCTATTTCGACCACCTTTATCAATAGGAAGATGATTACCAATGTTTTCGCAATGTTTTACCCTCTTTGATGTTCTACCCAGTCTTCTCGATCGTTTGTTATCTGTTTGAGACCTTCCTTCACTAATAAGGCCTTCAGCCACATTTACCACGAAGTCAATAAATTGAATATTTTTTTTAGTTAGCTCTTGATAGGCAATGTGAGCATTACATAGGGCAACCATTAGCAATCGGAAAAAGACTTTCTTCCACCATTTAGTACTTCTTCGGGCTAATTCGTATAATGTAGACATCTGATCAGCGTGATCTACGCCGCCCATATGTTTATTACAAAAAATAATGGCCTCTGGGCATTCCAATTCTTTTGAAGTGCCATCTTTTATTTTTCGTTATGTTTTTTCGATTATAGGCATGTGACAGTTACTCATTACCAACACGTCCTTAGTATCCTTCCATTTTATTGCTAGTATGCCTTCTTTACACCCAGCCATTTCACAGGCTCCTCTCTCAACCAGTTTAGATTCTAATTTGGGAGTATTTTTTCGACTGGATATATAGGTTCTCACTGCAGAATATTCGATTGAATCTAAGAGTATTGTCGAACAGAAAAAGCGATCAAAGCATATTGCCACATTAGGATTTCTTATAGTTTCCGCCAACTTTAGCACAACTCGCTCACGTAGAGTTCCTTCAGAGACTTCATTATCTTTTCCGCAATAGATATTTGTGTCATAAACATAACCAGTTTTCGAGTCACACCTTGTCCACAATTTTATACCTCTTTTGATCGGCTTCAATGGAAGATATTGTTTTAGTGAGGACCTACCCTTAAATTTGGTCATAGATTCATCTATTGTCTGAAATGTGGAGTCTGTTCTAGTTTTTATAAAGGTGTGCTTCAAGCAGGATAGAACTTCTTCCATATAGTAAATTTTTGATGCATTTTCTGGTTTTTCTGGATAGTTTAGGTATAGTTTTGATAATAACAGCATAAATCTGTCTCTTGAAATGGCCTCTATTATGGCTGGATTTCCCAATGACTTATTTCTAGACCAGTACATGTGAATAGCTGGTACACGATTATACGACATGATTAGTGAACACCCTAAAATTATTTTAATTTCTCCTGCTGAGGTTTTTTTGATTAGCTTTTTCTTCGTTTTTTCCAATATATCAAGATGCAAATTAGTATAATAACTAATCTGCGTGATTAGACTTTTTGGGAACAACTGGTAAAAACATTCAAGCATAGTTGACCCTCTATTTAGATAAGCAATAATCACCGGGTTTTCTTCTATCGGAATGTTTCGTTTGGGTGAAAAAGTAAGAAGATTCTTGTTCCAAATATACTTGCCTGCAGATGAAGAAGGAATTTTAGTAGTATCTTCCCTCTCTTGATTTTTGGTCCCTTCAGTTATTTCAGATTCCATAGTATTTTGTTCAGTTGTTTCAGATTCCATATTATTTTGTTCAGTTCTTTCAGATTCCATATCATTTTGTTCAGAATCAGTTTCACTTTCCTCAGAACCAGAATCTTCATCATGTGAATAATCGGATGAATTTTCAGAACCATCTCTATAATCCTCATCGTCACTATCATCACTGTCGTGAAAAGGATCTTCTTCACTATCTGATTCATCCACAAACATCCTTTCAGCAATCCCTGATAGTTGCTTTTCAGAGAGGGGACGCCTACTACTCATTCTGAAACAAATGATACAAATCAGCACTGCGGACAATTAGCACTGCGGGGATAAATATATCCCAACTCCCAGCACTGCAGGGATATATAAATCCCAAGCAATTTTTTTCTGCAAAAACATGCAGAAAAATAACTTTTTATTATAAAAAAGAATAGAATCACTTACCTGGGTTTTATATCCTTGAAAATAGTTAAAACACTGCCCAAAAGCACAAATAAACAAGTAATTAGTCGGACGATAGCCACTACGATGCGACAAGTGCAACAATAACACTTGAATAAAGACAATGTAAACATTGAATGTGCCAACCAACCTGCGCAGTGGATAGTCTGAACCATAAACAACTAGTAAATTCCGTCCCAATATAATTTAAAGCTTTCTAATTCTATACCGATTTTTTCAAACTTTCTTTGGGACGTATATATCCCCGGAGTATTGAAAGGGTTAAATCTGCATCTAATTCAGAACTAAAATCTATCAATTCTCGGAACACTCCTTTATTTTTGGATTCTTCGGTTTCATCATGTCCGCGAAATGTTAATTCTAATGCACCACAAAATTTAATACAGTTAATAATGATGTTTAAAATATATCTGTTTTATCAACATGTTTATTGTGGGTAATAATATTTTGTCTATAAGCCATAAGTGCCTAGGTCACTCCACCATTGAGGAAGCTACCTAAATATATATTATAAATGTAATATTGTAACAATCTGTTATAAGGTAGAAAATAACTAAATAAAAAAAAAAAGTTCCTTTATTTGGATTTTTTCCTGGAGCGAATGCATAGAAAAATGTTTATTTTATTCATTTTGCTTCGGACTCTCGGACGATTTTTAATTTATTATACTTTAAAAACTCAACTATTCTAACTACCTACCTACCTAACAAACAAAAAATCAGCACGCATAAAATGTCAAAAGCAATACGCCGAACTCGCCGAACACGCGATTGAAACAATACTATTCTAACTATTCATTCCGAGCCCCTTGAAACCTGGCCCCGTTTGAATGTATAAGAAGCGCTTTGTACACGCGAATGGCGTGACCTTTAGTAAACTTTTAAAATGGATTGATATGTAAGCAGCCGGGCCACTGGTCGATGTGCTCGGATAGACAGTCAATTGCTTGAATTATTAAATTTGTTGTGTCTAGGAATAATACGACGCAAGTTTTTTCAACGGGATCAAATTGAATAATGATAAATAATTTATATATTGTATCGTTTACCCATAATTTGATCCGACAATTTTAATTAATATAAAAAGAAATATTTTTAGAAATTGAAATATTTACAAATTTTGCGCCAGTCCCTTTGGCCCCTTAGGATGAGCCGCCACTGTAATTACATCGTCATTTTTCCAGTTCTTGGACTTCTATTTCAGAAAAATGAAGCACAAATTTGTTTGGGGCAAATTAAAATTTGGTCACACTGTCATAAGTTATTTGAACAGTAGATTCCAAAAAAATATACAATATACAGAATGCTTTATTATAAATATAAAACCTGCTGCTGGCCATTTTTATTCTCGTAAGTGTCAATAGTTAGAAATTATGCCCATTATGTAATCGGAAAAAATCTTTTGTATAAATCAACAGTCAAACCGATTAGAATATATTCGTACGATATATATCTAACTTTGGAGTCAATAAAACTACAACGGTTCCAGAAGAAATTAGCTAATGTGCCGTGGTATGTCCCGAATGTGGTTTTATAACAAAATTTACAAATATCAGATATAAAAATATTTTGCAAAAAAATACCAGGACAGATTTAGTGATCACTCGAATGTGCTTGTGAGTGCGCTGGGCACAAATAATGAAGTGTGACATCTCAAACGCAGTATAGATATGATTAGCAAGATCCGACTAATCAGTCAATAAAATGAACAAAGTTATGTTTATGCAACTAACAATACAAAAAAGTACTATTGGTTGCATAAAATGTCAGCATTACAAAATGCCGTTTTGCGTAATTCGTATATGTTGCGGGACCTCATTCTGCTCTTCCCGCAAATATTCACTCTTAACATAAAATAAGGCATTTCGTAACTTGTCGCATAAATAGCTTCTAACATGTAATATTAATACCCTAAAACAAGTCGTTGAGAATAAGTTATGCATATGCAACTAACAATACAAGAAAGTAATATTGGTCGACTAGATGTCGGCAATTTTTTACCAAAACATAATTTTTTTAATTAGAAAAAATATTGCAAGAAACACGTTACGAAATGTCGTCTTATGTAACTCGTTCATGTTGCAGGACCTGGCTCTGCTCATCCCGCAAATATTCACTCGTTACATAAAATAGAGCATTTCCTAACTGGTTGCTAAAGTAGCTATTATGTAGATGGGATCGATTTAGAGTACCGAAATGTTATCGTTTATACTCGCTGAAAACAAACGAGATAAATTCTTTGGAATTTACAGCAAATACATTTTTAAACAACTTCTACGAAATGATGAAAACGGAATTTTTCAATAAATTGGTTTTCATTTTGGGAATTTCCAAAGGATTTATCCAAGACACATTTGTTCTTTTTCAGTAGCTTCATTAACCAATAATTGAATTATTAAGCCGTCTTACCTTCCCCTAGGCCCGTATTCAAGCTGGAATGTTCGTCAATAAGGCTGTAATCCCTTGTAGATCCGTATAAATGAATGAAAGATGGGCCGAACGTGGGTAGAAATCCTAAAAAAAAAACGAATCGGATTTATTTAGTCTGAAATAAATAAATGATTAGGAGCGTTTGTTGTAGTTTAAAAGGATCTAAATTAAAATTAAATACAGAAGAAACTTGAAGTTTTTTAAACATTATATTATTTTCTATAACTATAACTCTAATTAGTTATACACAACGTCAAAAGGGCTCACATTTATTTAAAATTATTGTTTTGAAATGTGTTAATTTTGTTAATAAAAAAATGTTATTTTTGGTTATTTAAATGGCGAGGTTTGCAATCTTGAGAAAATTGTTAGTTTTTGCACTTAACAAACTACTATTTTATGATACATACAGAGTATTTCATTAATAAGGAAATCCGTTAACTGGAGATACTGCTAAGCTATTGCTTTGATAAATAGAGCCTTAACTTTTTACCCTGTCGGTACATCTAACATCAAAATGGTTCTAAAATCTGAAAGAGCAATAATTTTCACATAAAAAATAAAAAAAATATTGTAGATTGTTTTAATACTAGAAATATATCACTTATTATATACTATACTACTAGAGGAAGTCTTCCCCCCTTCCCCGCGCTAAATTTTATTAGCAACATCTACTTCCCCGAGGGTGGAAATACCTCTTCTGTAATTGGCCTATTTAATCAAATGTCAATTTTTGATTTGTATTTACGAAAAATATAATTATTTATAGCCTTGTAAGGGTTTTAAATGTATATTTAAGATTTATTATATGGTGAAAACATGCTTTATGTGTAAGAGACCTGTTGAAAATGCTTCTTCAAGATTATATCATAGGTAAGTACAAACACAACTTAATTATCAGAGGCGGTGCATTAGGCAATCAACTTTAATTTGCAATTAAATTTTTTTTATTTTCGAAAAAGTAAAATTCTGAGGGAATAAACCCCAGCTAAATTCGTCTTCATCTGTCTCGTAATGATTATAGTAAAAGTTAATTACTTATTAACATAAATAAAGAAAATTTAAACCTGTGACTTTATTTTAATATCACATCTTTGTAAAGTTTATTATTTTTTATTGTAGTTTTCTTTTTCCTGATATGATAAAAACAAAAAAATGGTTACAAAATTTAGGAATTCAACAAGTGACCACCTGAATAACTTTTTATGCTCATGAAGATTTTTATTACAGACCTCAGGGAAAGAAAATGTTAAAGAAAAATGCAATTTCAGTAAATTACGACGAGAGAGGTATAATAATCAATCCTGTCACTACTTTCTCGCCATATTCATCTGCTACTAAACTACTAAAAGAATGTTTAAGGAAAAAGACAAAGCCACGTTTTTGTTGACAATTTTTTTTAAACTGAAATTTAATCGACTAATTCTGTGTATTATTTAAATTTTCATATTATGTACTTAATTAATTTTAGATTTAAACAAAATAAACCTCAAAGATATGCTGATGATACGAAGTATCGCAAAAAAGCAAAAAGGCTACAAAATTCCTAAGAAAACTATTCAGAGCCAAAAACATAAAATAGTCTTCGTGTCCGAAATATAAAGATATAGGTATAAATATTTGGATATCATGAGTGATTTTTTATTCTATAAAAAAACAATACTAGAACTTAAATAATGTGGATTTTGACTATTTTGAGTTATCCATATCATTATGATCTAAAAAATGTCTTTCTGTTGCTATAGTCAGATATAAAAACATTCATTTATTTGAGCACAGTTGCAATATACATGATAATTGGTTTTTAAGTTAATACCTAGTAGGACATCCTAAAATGTCTTTTTCAGTTTGATGTAAGATTCATTATTATACATTTTGGATATTTTAAGATGGTCTACTGTTTTCTCTAATCATCTAAAAAGTATAGAACAAGACTGTTTTAACAAAAAAGAGATATACCTTTAATTAAAAAAATCGGCACCTAATAACATTGACGATAGGTTTTTATAATATATATTATACAATTCACAACGAACTACACAAAATGACATTATTAATAATTTAAGCAATAAAAAAGTTAAGTTTAATGATGACATTAAAGTTGATTTTCTCGAAATTACTTTTTTTAAATTGTCCCATTACCTACCTACTGTTTTAGCACAATGATATATGAATGTGCATTGTGTGATATCTTATATTTTAGAAATAAAATAATATTTTTTGCAGGTTTCTTTTAACAACGATTCCAAGAACATTTGAAAATATTATTAAAATGGCCTTCACAAATATAATTCTCAATCAAGAGATTTTAATTTAACATTAAATTATTATTCTCCAAAAGATTACAGCTACCTAAGAAGAAAGTTTAACAAGACTCTTACCAGACCCAAAATATCAAAATGTTACCAACCAATTGATGGTTCTACTGATTTCCATTGTAAAATTCTACTCGGAACTACTAAAAGAAACGTGCAAAAAAGTCTTTTGCTAAACAAAAACAAGACATTTGTTTAAGAATCTAATTATTGTTTAAAGTTTTAGCATTAATAATTTTTGATAACCTTTTAAGATTATGAAGTTCTATTATGTATTTTACTCTTTGATAACCTATGTTTAAATTTATATTAGGACCAAAATAAATTATAATTTTCATTTCAACACGCTCATAATATTAAAAGGGGGGAAAACGTCAGATTAGTTATGATCAGGAATCAACTCTTTAAACATTTATCTACTTAAAATGTGTTACTATTAGAAGGTATGTCATTAACTTTCTATTTGTACTTGTATTAATTTATTTCATTTTATTATCTGTTGTATTTTCAAATTGATTTTGATATTAATCTTATCTATTTATATATTTTTTATATTCACATATATGTTTTTTTCATTGAAACAAACGTTTATTAGCTTATTAAATATAATGAATTCATGTTGTTTTATTATTTGCTTGAGTGAGAATAAAAAATTAGACGATATTTACTGGAGCTTTCATCTACACGCTCCTTTTTTTAGCCATCTACACCTGAGCCAGCAAGATTCGTCTTTCCTTCATCCTTACATTCTCCAGATTTAGAGAAAAAACGCCGTCCTCTTTCACGTATCCGGACCTTCTTTGACGGGGACTATACCACTACTTTACATTATCAGCTTTATTTGTTACCCCGAGCAATTAAATGCGTTTACAATTGCTCGTTCTCACCTCTTCTCTTGTAGATTCTGTACCCATTTTTCTTATTTTTAGTTACGTTTGCACTGCTCTTTTATTTTCACAGCTATAATTCTACAATGCTGTAACGCTACAATATGGATCCATTTTTGTGGTTTATACTATTTAATTTTAATCGTAAGTGACTAACCTATTATAAAAATTAATAATTATTGTATTACAAGCCTGAAGATGTTTCTGTGACGCCAAAACTAGCCACTCCTGTATTTATTTATATTAAAATTGATTTTGAGGTTTTATTAAAAAATTAGACCTTCACAGTGATTTTGTTTCATTTTCTGCATCATACACAAAAAAGACTGTATATACAGGGTGGCTCACGCTCAACGGGACGGAGCTTTATGGGAAAACGACCAAAGATATAAAAAATTCGTTTGGGAGGAATACGTAGGTTACAGACGGCTACAATTTAAAATTTGTTAGATGTATACAGGATGTCCCACATAAGAGAAAATATACAAAGTTATATTATTTTTAATGGAACACCCTATTTTTTATTTTAGAATTAAAAACTACATCAAAAATAATGTCAGTTAACTAAAGGTTCCCTATTACTATTATTATTAGTTTTTGATTTATTTGAATTTTTAAGGAAAAAAAGTCTCCCAGAAATTAATTGTTTAATCTTGTTTGAATAATTTTTAATGAACTAATTTTTTTTTCTTATGTGGGACATCCTGTATACATCTAACAAATTTTAAATTGTAGCCGTCTGTAACCTACGTATTCCTCCCAAACGAATTTTTTATATCTTTGGTCGTTTTCCCATAAAGCTCCGTCCCGTTGAGCGTGAGCCACCCTGTATAGCAAAATTAGTATATTTTTTAGATTTTTTTACAATTAAAAAGTTTGGAAAATGTGAGTTCTTACATAGAAATGATACGCCACTGAACAAGAAGGATGTTTACCTTCCCCCTTGTGCCCGTTTCCTCACTTCCTCTACAGATGTTGCTAACACAACAATCGTCTACAAACTCGTTTCACGATCCCTCTAGTAGTAATTCCTCGGAGCTATTAACAATCATGGTATATTAACAATAGTAGTTTGTGCGAAAAGAGTGGATATGATGCCCAAATCACACAATCAGCTTGAGTTGTGCAGTATATTTTTTCTATGACGCACTAACGAAAATCCTCTAAATTGTAAAAATGTATTTAGAGGTTAAGATAAAATAACTATTTTAAAAATAATAAACACAAATATTTAGTCTTACGAAAAGTGCCCTATATCACGCGTGTGGTTAAGAATCTACTTTCCGCCCATTATTTATAATTTAAAACATTTATTCACCTGCTCAAAATAGTATAATACACTTATACACTTCCTGTTGGAATTGTGCCGGCCTTGCATCGCTGGGCCAATGGCGATATGTTCACCTATTATGATTTGGCAGAATATAGCCGCTCTTACTTCTTACCAGAAAGGCATAATAATTAAGGTATTGAGGATATCTTGAAGTCAGTAATTGTAAATGGTTATAGATTTGTCTTGTGTTCCACCCATGTATGAATATGAATCTACTTTCCGTATTAGCTGTCAAATATGTCAGATGCATTATTTCTATTTTGATATATGTGATGTTTATATTAATAGTACAGTCGATTTGGTGATTAAATTGTTAACATTCATTTTTATACCTAGATCCCATCTATTTATTTTTACCAATTATTAAAATAATTAAAAAGAAACTACATTACTTTTGTATGTTTTTAAGATTTACACACATAAATAATTAGATAATTCAGTTCAAATATGCTTTCATGGGTCAGATCGTTAAGTGTTCAACTTTATTAACTTTAGATTTCCGATAAAAGCAATCTTTTTTTATTTTTTCTTTTTTTATTTGGGAAAAATATTAAAATTGAAAAAATACGACTACTGATGTTTATTTATTTTTAAATACATTGTATTTATCATAATATAACCGCTACAGTTAGAAAATTTGTAAATTTTTACCAAAAACTTAAATGTTTTAATAGTAATTCAAATAATAGTTTAAATGAATATGGTTCTTGAAAATCAAAATATTTTTTTTTTAGAATATGATGCGTTGGTAAAGAATAAAGTGAAAAACTAATATTACTGGTTTATAATTTTACATTTAAATGTAAATTTATTGTGAAGTTTTTTAATTTGTCAGGCGCCTGATTGTGCTTTTATGCATTAACCCCTTCGTGCGCTTCACAACCTTGACTTCTCTTTTCCTTTATTGTACTTAACAGCCTTTTAAAATAAAATTTTCCAGCTAGGATAAATCCCCAACACAACAATACATCCTTATCTAACCTAACCTGCATATCTCACCCTTTTCTCCGTCGTTGGAAATAGTTTTGAGGTCTAGAAAATGCGTGCCAATCACCGTCGGTTTCACCGGATCGTCATCTCTCAATTGGATTTTTATTCTCTGACACAAAGGAGGGAACATCTCCGTGAAAATTAGCTGTTCGTTCCACACCGGTGCATAACTGTGCTTTTTTACGCTCGTTTTCCCCTGCAACAGACGTTTATTTTTAGATCGATGCTGCGTTTCGTGCAGAGTTACTAATTAGTCGTTTGAAGTTAATTAATACAAGCTTTCATAAAACACATCCATCGAAAAACAAATTTAATTTATTACGTATACACGACGTTTACCTCAAAGGTACTTTTAAAAAAAAAATACTCCAAATTAAAAATCATTTGAAAATATACAGTGTATTAAAAAAAATACAAGGAATTTAATAGTAGTTTTTTAGTTTTTGCAATAAAGTAGAAAAGTAGGAAAGGCACATGAGGGAGATTGCATAACTCCGGAAATCAAATAATTGGGAGAGCAAATTTATACATGCCTACATAGAAGAAGAGAAGGAAATCTGAGTGAGACAATTGCAGAGCTATATTTTCGTCCTAGAACCAGCTTCAAACTATACACAAGACTACTATAAAAATGGCTTAGACCACCAGAAAGACAGAAAAAACGAGGAGGAGGAGGAGGAGGAGGAGGAGGAGGAGGAGGAGGAGGAGGAGGAGGAGGAGGAGGAGGAGGAGGAGGAGGAGGAGGAGGAGGAGGAGGAGGAGGAGGAGGAGGAGGAGGAGGAGGAGGAGGAGGAGGAGGAGGAGGAGGAGGAGGAGGAGGAGGAGGAGGAGGAGGAGGAGGAGGAGGAGGAGGAGGAGGAGGAGGAGGAGGAGGAGGAGGAGGAGGAGGAGGAGGAGGAGGAGGAGGAGGAGGAGGAGGAGGAGGAGGAGGAGGAGGAGGAGGAGGAGGAGGAGGAGGAGGAGGAGGAGGAGGAGGAGGAGGAGGAGGAGGAGGAGGAGGAGGAGGAGGAGGAGGAGGAGGAGGAGGAGGAGGAGGAGGAGGAGGAGGAGGAGGAGGAGGAGGAGGAGGAGGAGGAGGAGGAGGAGGAGGAGGAGGAGGAGGAGGAGGAGGAGGAGGAGGAGGAGGAGGAGGAGGAGGAGGAGGAGGAGGAGGAGGAGGAGGAGGAGGAGGAGGAGGAGGAGGAGGAGGAGGAGGAGGAGGAGGAGGAGGAGGAGGAGGAGGAGGAGGAGGAGGAGGAGGAGGAGGAGGAGGAGGAGGAGGAGGAGGAGGAGGAGGAGGAGGAGGAGGAGGAGGAGGAGGAGGAGGAGGAGGAGGAGGAGGAGGAGGAGGAGGAGGAGGAGGAGGAGGAGGAGGAGGAGGAGGAGGAGGAGGAGAAGGAGGAGGAGGAGGAGGAGGAGGAGGAGGAGGAGGAGGAGGAGGAGGAGGAGGAGGAGGAGGAGGAGGAGGAGGAGGAGGAGGAGGAGGAGGAGGAGGAGGAGGAGGAGGAGGAGGAGGAGGAGGAGGAGGAGGAGGAGGAAGAGGAGGAGGAGGAGGAGGAGGAGGAGGAGGAGGAAGAGGAGGAGGAGGAGGAGGAGGAGGAGGAGGAGGAGGAGGAGGAGGAGGAGGAGGAGGAGGAGGAGGAGGAGGAGGAGGAGGAGGAGGAAATTAACAAATACATTTTTCAAAATTACCCTTGCTATATTATTAAAACCTCCAAAACAAAAAGAAACGATTTAGGGCAGGATCGAAATGTTTCCTTTGATAATTCTGATTAGTGGTTTCCAACTAAACATAAAACATTTCCAGTCTTTTTTGTAACGTTTCTCATAGAGTCTTTTCTTGATATATTTTAGAAACGATACTTAAATATCCCATAGATGTTTAAAGTTAAACATCATATTCATTAACATTCCTCCCATATATCTACAAATAAAGTTCTATGTACGCTGTAATACTTGAATTAGCAGTTCCATAAACATCTTTTGTACTCCTTTTTAGTTACTTTCTGTGACAGTAAACATTTATAGGATCTTAATTTTTATAAATCACAATAATATCGCATACAGGTCAGCACAGTAATGTGTACAAGTTACACATCTTTAAGGTGGCTATCTTTAGTACTTTACATCGCAGACCTGGCAGACCAAACAGTTCGCTCCGCGTTGATAGATGGAGATACCAATGATCGCTTGCTACTTACATAACCGGTAGTACTGTATATTATGGAGCAGTCTGTTGCCCATTAATAAGTATTTCATCAAAGTTCTTACTTTTACCTTGAATATTAATTTAGACCATTGTATTATCATACTTTTTCTGTAAAATATTCTGGGATTGTGGGATTAGAAATTAGAAGTTTAAATTGTCTTCTAAGCTTTTAACTTAAATTTTATTTATTTTTATTCTGTTTTATATAGATGAAATATAAAATATTTATATAAATATAAAATTTAAAAGATAGAGATAAAAATAAAAAGGTATAAACTGTATCGTAATTGGAACATCACATTTGGTTCAATAATATGATTTTATTTTATGGGCTTTTATAATAACATCTACAAGAAGTAAAAAGACTTTCTTGGATAAAGCAGGAATGTCACATCTGGTTTGTTAAAAAGACATCATTTTTGGAAACTTTCAATACCGTTGGATAACGTAACAAGGTAGCGCTGAATATCACCGCAACGTCTACATTGTTTAATCACAAAAGTAAACGTCTCTACTCTGGGCTTAGATGGTTATGAGTCCGTCCTACAGATGAAAACAAGAGTAAAAATGAGTTACAATGCAACAATATGATGTAAAGTTCTCATTAAGTTAACGTTTTTATGCATAGTGGGTTATTAAGAAATTAAAAATATTCTGTCACCGAGTCAGATTCGAATCTGATATCTAAATTAACAATTCGGATAATGAGTAAATAAAAGTAGCACCCGATGCGAAGGCATCAAAAGTAAGGATTATTTTCTTATATGCAAAAAAACGCCATTGAATAGAACAGACAACAAAAACAACGTTAAAAACGAAAAAATATGAAATGTTGCAACCTGAAACGTTAGGGGACTGACAGAAAAAGACTATGAGTTCATACAAGAAGTTGAGACAGAAAATTTCATTTTTTAATAATGATTGACATTTTATTAAATACCTGTGTTTGCAGTAAACAATAACTAGCAAAAAAATGAAAAAAAATTTTATAGGGCATTCTCTATAATATAATAAATTTCTATTATCTCACCATCAATCCCGCAAAAGAAACTTGTACATATGGGTCCACTAAATCGTTAAGTTCTCCAGTAAAGGCCTTCTTCACGTTGGCCATTAAAGAAGAATTCATTTTGGGTAGACCGTCTGCTCTGTAAATTTTGACAATCACGCGAGCTTTCTGTCTGTCCGTCGGAACACCGTCTGGTAGTAGAAGATTCCTGAAAAAATAATGAGATACAGGTTTAGTGATAATATACGGTACGAAGAAGAGTTTATTAAATGATTGAGAGTCAGCCAGCGTCCAGGATTCTGGACAAACGAGTTTCTTTGGAGGACTTGAGGCGAATTAAATGGGCGCTACAATGTAAAATAGTAAATCAGGTTATTTTCTTGACACTTATTTGTTCAATAACTTTGTTGCCAGACACCGCTTGTCTAATAAGCATGTTTTGTTGACATTCACTTGTCCAATAACTCTGTTGCCCGACACCACTTGACCAATAGGTATGTTTTTTCTGATGTTACTATATTTGACCCATATTAATTCATAGTATCCACTCTTTTACCTTTGTACCTGATAAGAACGTTTACCCGATAAGTTTGTTTGCTCGATAGATACATTTGCCAGGTAACTCATCAGCACGACAGGTACGTTTTCCCGACAATTTACGAGCAAATAGACTTAAAAGCAGCAATTAAGTCTTTTAATTTTCGCTAGTAAAGAGAGTTTTTTTTTATTTAGGATAAATTGTGCAGGGTTTGTTAAAAGATAAGGAAAGATAAAGAGTTTGAAACTTTCTAGTTTTTCAACTCCTGGTTTTATTCAGCTATATGATAGTTCATCTGCATTTAATGGGATAAAACCTCTTATTACCTTTAAAGCAGAATCATTAGTACCATGGTTAGACGGAAATTATGTAAGACGACCAACGAGAACTGGAAGAATTACTCGGTATTTCCTCCAGAGTTTTGTAAAATATAGTGATAACATGCTGTGAATTACAAATATAAGCTGTTAAAAGTTCAACGCAACTAAAAATATCATTCGTGGAAGAGCTCTGTTACCAATTCATAGGAAATATTTACATTGAAAGAAAAAACGCATGACTACTGTCTTAAGCGATATAACAAACAGATAGTTTAAATGCACAATATGTTGATAAAAGTCAGTTAAATGAGAAAAACTTACCAAATTATGAGACCACTTTATGTTTTGAAATTCAAGATATCAGGTTCGGTTTCTAAAATATTTGAGGAAAACTGAATTGGTCGAATTTTTTGGCCTTAATGTTTAAAAATGATATAAAGGATTTTATTTAACCATAAATAGAGCTTACGTTATCATAGCTATATTTTCAGTCCAACGTTTAGTCTCTGAACGACCACCATCAAGATTTTTATTTCATTTTTTAAACGTTTTTCTAAATCATAGTACACGTAATTTATATTAACATATTCAGACGTTCTGAAAGTATAAAATTATCATCAACAAAATTTTGAGTACTTAAATCAATAGAGATAAATAAAATATGAATAAATTACACAATTCATAGTAAGGTAGTGGAGGAAAATATGGCCCAGCGGGTAATATGGCGCAAAATCCCTAGCACAAAGACTAAAGCATTTAACAGCAATCTGGCAACGTCAGATAACTGCCTGTAACCCTCACTACCAACGACAGTTTGAGGAATTATTAGGTGTCACAATTTGGCATGCAACACCTAGTTGCATTCTGATTGCCGGATTAGACGCGTGCTATTATAAATATTCGGCTAATTTATTGACCACGTTTTTATGCTAAGAACTAAAGTGAACGGCCAGCACAATTAAGGGAGGTAAGTGTATGTTGTTAAGTATCTCTGCACGGAATATTTATTCGCTAATGAAACTCTGTCGTATTTTTTTACCCATTATTGTTATCTGTGCGTCTTTTTGGTTAATATGACCCAATGAAGCCCGCCATTGGGGACATATTACCCTACTTAATTAAACAAAATTAAATTAAAGACCAACTTGAAGAGGCTAGCAGCTGCCAGAAATGGAGAATCTCAACGAAATGTTTGTCCTAGATTTCAAATACCCAGGCGAACTTTACGACGACATTTAGTTGAGAGCTTGCCAGAAAAGAAATTGGGTGATCCAAGCATATTGAGTCATCATTAGGAACGAGATTGTGTGCAGCGGATTAAGCCATATTGTCAAATTGGTTTTCCTCTTACTCCCAAACTTGTCCGACATCAAATGTTTCGATATTATGACATAAACAACATTCCCAATAATTTTAATAAGGAAAAGCAGCTTGCTGGGAAGGACTGGCTATCTTTTTTCCTGAAGAGGCATGCCGATTTATCTGTACGGAAGGCGCAACCTACACGCGCTCAAAGATTGAACAAGGCAATCGTGTCTGACTACTTCATCAAGATATCCGAATTTATGGCAACAATGAACATTAAAGATAAACCTCAAAATATAATATATAATATGGACAAAAAAGGCTGCCGCCTCAACATACACTATCATCAACGGGTTGACTGAGAAGGGAGTACGACGGGTTCATATGGTTGCACCTGAGCATTCTAAAAATGTCACGGTTGTAGCTTGTTGTAATGCTATGGGCAACTCTATTCCACCTATGATATTGTTTCGAGGAAAACGTTTTAAACCAGAATTTGGTGACAATTTACCTCATGGATTCCTTGTAAAAATGGCACCAAAAGGATCTATGACGCAACTCTTCAAATAATTTTTAAGACATTTCGCTCTGTATAAATCGAACGGGCCTACACTTCTTGTTTTTGATGAAGCTTCCAGCCACTTGGATTTCACTATTGCTAAAAGTCTCTCGGCATCACATTATTCTGTTTGCAATCAAATACAACTCACGAGCTTCAGCCACTAAGTATTTGGCTCTTTTGAAGCAAATTGGGACCAGGAGCTCTTAAGGTATTGGGATACATACCCTCAACGAAGTCTAAACAAGGCCAGATTCAACATAGTTTTTTCTCGTGTTTGGCCCAAATGTATGACATCAGAAAATATTATAAGCTGATTTAGAGGTACAGGAATATTTCCTCCTAATCCTGACGCAATACCTGCTGCAGCTTTTTCACCTTCTTTAGTAACGGAGCGAGTCATGCCTGATGAAATTATTGAAAACAACAATGGAGACGCCGAAAAGACACACGAAAGTCTTTCAACTGCACACAGTTAGATTTCTTCTGACGATGATGTTCCATTGGCAGCTTTAGCTAGAAATATTAATCCTCAAGTTCCTCAACAGCCTTATCCATATATAATGAATAAGTCGTTTCAGGAAATGCTTCCAACTCCTACCGATGAAAAGAATAATGAAGCGAAAAAAATTAGGCGAAAATAGGCGAAAAGCTTTGAATTACAAAGCTCAGAAAGTTACAAAAGACCTTTTCTCTGAGAGGCATCACCCATCAGCTATGGAGTGTTCAGCTCGGAAACTTTCAGTTCCATCAACTTCCAAACAGAAAAGCACTATCCTACAGTCGACATCTAAACAAACTAAACAGGAGTCACGGTTATGTGTATGATGTGAAAAAGACGACCAACTTAACAAGCGAATGTGCAAAATGTCATACTTGGTACCATGAGACATGTGTTGGCCTCGAGTCTGACGATGAAGATTTTGAGTGCTGTTGGCTTTTTGTTTTCATAATTTTATATTTTAAGTTTTTGGGCATAAAAATATTAATTTGGTTTATTTTTAATTTTTGTAATTAAATGTTGCTTAAATTTTGTATTTTTTAGTGTGTTCATTAAATGTTTTAGTATTTGTTATCTTTGTTTATGTTTCTGACTAGTTTAATATTTTTTGTTCTTAATTTTGTGAAAACCAGATCAATCTTCCTCAGTTTAAAGATTTTTTACTCTGGGCCATATAATCCGACCAGATTGGTAATATGGCCCAGTGCAAGGCAAATAATTTTTATAATATAACATCTATTACGAATCATTTCTGACCAGGCTAAATTATATAAGTATGTCGGCCACATACTTACCTATTATATTGTGGAAAAAAATGTTCCTTCAAATATTCAGGCTCCATGAAAAAAAAAAAAACATTAAGGTGGGCCATATTTGCCTTCACTACCTTACAGCAAAAATAACAAAAAGTTGGTCATATGCGTGGAATATCAAAGCGTAAAAATAACAAGAGAAGACAGTCAGAGCAAGAAACTAAAATCGAGAGAAATAGTGCTCTAATTTAAAGGGATTAAAAGAAATTTTAAATGGATTCCATAGGTGGCGGCTGATTCTTTAAGTAGTGTGTTGTATTTTAATACAGTTATGCTTTACTCGTCAACTAGTAATAATTGATTGAGCCTCTGTAATTTTATTTGTTTGGTGTTAGACTTACTTAAAAAACAGACTTCAAAATCGTGCAGATGCTACTATAAATCAGACAAGGTGGTAAAGAATTATCGCTAAACATACATAAAAAAATTATACCGATGAATTGTGAACCTCCTCCCTTTTTCGAAATTAGTTAAAAATTTAAAAATTTTAAATTGGATTTTACTATTTTTCTCGAGAGCGGTGTTTTGCTTTATGTGAACAAAATATCCGATAAGATATCGGACTAAAATGAATATCTCAAAATAAAATTATTTAATTTAACTTTCTTGTGAAGAGTCAAGTGAATTTTTATGGTTGTATATGTCTGTTTAATTAGGGGTAGTTTATTTATTAATCATTTTGGGAGCTTTCGTAATACATCAAAAACAATATTCATCAATTGAAAATCACATTGACAACATCGAGCACACTGCCGTTTAAATGTCCGAGCTTTTTTACAACATTAATATAGTGTCTAATCTTGGTAATCTTTAATCATATACGACATACACTTTTTCTATGCCTCGTGTCAAACGCATCTAGCGGCTTTTCTTATCCCTGTTGATCTATAATTTTATTATTTTAAACTGAATTGACTAAAAACAATTTACTATTGTTACATTTAAATGTTTCTAGTATTGTTAATGGAAACGTTTTTAAATGTAATATAAATTCTTGTTCTGCAATAAATATTGATAAATATCCTTCTCCATGTTCATGGCATAAATTAATTTTCCTAAATAGTTCAGCGGGTGTCAACCGACCCTTTCTACCTGGTTTACTGAAAGGGTCTATTAATCCCATTTGTCAAATGGACACTAGGCAATATATTAGAGTGTTAAAGTCTCATTAG